TAGTTCCATCCATATTGTTGCAAATGGCTAGATTTCATTTTTTGATGGGTGAGTAGTTTTCCCAGTAGATCTCCCAGGAAACCACCTAGATCATTGGCATCTGGACTACATGTCAGCCAATAACAGGGTTCCTGATCTACCAGTGCCACCTCATTTGCTCCTTGGCATTTCCCAGAAGTTTCCAGTAGTCAGTCAACTGGTGCCAAACAGTGGGAGTATTACAAACCAGGCCTTGGTGCCTAGCACTTAGTAACCATTCAGTAAGGATTTGTTAAATACACGTCTGGATATAGTGGTTAGATCAACTTTCCTGTAGCTCCTTTATGTTCAATCAAATCACTTGCCATAATTAGCCATATTTTAATCAATTGATAAGGCTTATTTACCTTGGGAAACTGAATAAAAGAAACCTCATTTAAAATGGAGTTGGGAGGCCAGAAGGGGAGCCCTCGGGTCCTACCACTGATAGCAGCCTTTTGTAGACCCATCAGGAAGAGATGTACCTTGTGTTCTCAACAGGAGGAAGCCTACTTTACTACCCTAGCAAGGGAAAGAAAGGTTGTCTCCTTGTCCAGCAATGGCCCCCACAACGCAAGACTGTCACAGCTGGGCCAATGAAAAGCCACTACACTTCCAACTCGAAGTTTACGTTAGTGGACTTTTTGTTTATAACAGCCCTTCCCAACTCCCCCCTTCCCTATATAAAAGAGCATTACTGTCCTTTGTTCTCCGAACTTGCCTGTGGCCTTTGCTATATCTTGCTTGTCCTGAATTGTAATTCCTGTTATTCCCAAATAAACCCATTTTGCTGATAAAATTTGCTTCTAAGGTTGGCAACTTTTACACATAACATTGCTGAAGGAAACTCCAACATTCATTCTACCCCATTTGGAAGCACATCCATTTGCTGAACTCTCTTATTCCACAGAAACCATCCATTTGAATAAATTATGTATGGCGGAAATGTTGATAGTCATTCTATCATAAATAAATGTTTACTTTCTTTGTGCCTTTCTGTATTTTCTATAATAAAAAATGCACAAAGGTTTTACCGGGCATTTACTGTGTTTTGAGACACTGAGCGACATGTTTGGAGGGTTTTCCTTCGTTTATGTACTCAAATTGACTAGCCTTAGTTGGACCCTTTCCTCCCATACCAGCCCACCATACCAGTACTTTCTCTAACCTGGGGACCAGCTCTCACCCCTGCTGTCTCCAGAGCCCATCTGCTTTTCACCTTCTTTTCTTTCTCCTTTACCCACAAATGTTTCCCTCATTGTTCCTGGAGTAGCTCAGCCTGCAGAGGCTCTGCCCGGCCCCTGCAGGAGAGACTTGGGCCAAGAACCCCGAGGTTACTGTGGCTGCTGGTCCTGGAATATCATGAAAACCTAGTGGGCAGGACGGATCCCATGTTTCACTACCATTATGTGTCTTCCTGTCTCTTTGGCTGGGCCATGAACTCCTTAAATGCTGGCTCTGTGTGACCTGCCCTGCCACTCCCGTGGCCCCTGGCAAAGGGAGGTACTCACTACGGTTAGGCTTAATTATTAACATTCTTTCTGAAGGATATGTGGACAGGTTTCTTATTAGACAATAAACTCTGAGGGCAGAGGCTGTGTCATGTTCGTCATTCTGTGACCCCGCACATTGTGGGCATATAGCAGTGGGAGGTGAGTGAATGGGTTGGTAAATGACTGGCTCATTAAAAAATTTTTTTATCTTTTTAAAGCTTTTTATTTATTTATTTGTCAGAGAGAGATGCAGAGAGAAAGGGAACACAAGCAGGGGGAGTGGGAGAGGGAGAAGCAGGCTTCCCACCGAGCAGGGAGGCTCGATCCCGGGACCCTGGGACCATGACCCAAGCCGAAGGCAGACACTTAACGACTGAGCCACCCAGGCACCCCAGGACTGGCTCATTTTAACTGAAGGGATGATTTAAGTGAAAACGTTCGGGAGGTAAAAAACATGGGATAGTTTCTTGAAAACCTGTCATTCTTGGGATGCCTGGGTGGCTCAGTCGGTTAAGCGTCTGCCTTCAGCTCAGGTCATGATCCCAGGGTCCTGGGACTGAGTCCCGCATCGGGGTCCTTGCTCGGCGAGGAGCCTGCTTCTCCCTCTGCTGCTTTTCCTGCTTGTGCTCTCTCTTGCTATGTCAAATAAATAAATAAAATCTTAAAAAAAAAAAACTGTCATTCTTTTCTCATAAATTAAAAAGGATTTTCAGGATGAAAGTTTTCTTGGAAATCAAGTACGTGGTTAGCAAGCAGGAATTGCCAGTGGTAGCTGGTAAGCCAAGTTGGGATGACAGTAGTCGGTTTGTTATCTTGTTAGAGTGAAGTTGTGTGTGGATCTCTAAAATGGCAGATCTGACCAAAGAAGGCAAACCTGAGATACTTGGGAGAATGACTCCATATTACTTAAGGGACAGAAATCAGGGGTGGGGAGAAGAGAGGGGAATTAAAACTGGTACAAGGTTTCTGCCCTGGAGATTGAGATACTTTTTGCCATTAACAGAGATTAAGAAAGTGAGGTAAGAAAGAAGGTGCAGATTAGTTTGGACTTGAATTGGTCTCTGAACTCCAGCGTCTATAATTATTAAATAGGGGTTGTGCTTGCTCTTTCTGAGGAAATGAGATGATGTGAAAGCACTTTGAAATTTGAAAAGGGAAGGACTAGACAATTATGTTAATGATAACCTTTATTATTATTTTAATTATATTTAGATATATTCTGCCAGCAGTTAGAGTAAAGACTTGAAGTGACATTTGGGATCTAAGTGGGATGAGACAACTGGGGAAGCAGGCATCAATGGAGAGAGCTAGAGGGGTCAGCAAGTCTTTAGGGATGGGAGAGAAAACAGGGTTTATCAAAGAGTACTCTGTGAGAACTCCCCCAGAGAAGGTTGGATAAGGCAGGGTGGTAGAAACCAAGACTGTGGAGGAGTTTCTGAAGCTGGAAACGTTCAGCAGTGTCAAATGCTACACAGAGAGAGGCTGAGTAAGAAGAGGAATGATTAATTTGCATTGGATTTGGTAAACTTGAGTAACCCGTCTTAGGGGAGGGCAGGGGGTGGAGGTAGAGCCCAGACTCTATACTTTGGAGGGGTGGGTGAGAATAGGTGTTGACATACTGGAAGAGAGGAAGTGATGGCCCAGGGTATCACCACAACTTAAGAGCAAAGGGAAGATAGCTTGATAGAGTTTTTTATACTATTATTCTGAAAAGGATTTGAGGGGAAAAATAGGGGAAGAATGATTGCCTGAGCATGTAATGGAGGGTGCAGGGAAGATGGGGGTGTGGGGGGAGAGGAGACTCTTGAGGAGCTGTGACAGAGTGACATTCAAAGTCTAAGTGGACAGAGTAGCTTTACAGATTAGGTATGACTCTGTTACACTTGATCTTAGCCAAAAGGCCGAGAAGCGATTGAAGCCAAAAGGAACTCTGACCCAATTCTCACAGCCTCTATTAGGATTATTCCCTCCCCACCAACCGTCTTGCTTCTTTGTTTCTCTCTTGTACTCAGCCAGCAAGACTCCACCTTGGAGCAAGTCTCCTAATTCATCCTCTCCAGTTCTTTATCGGGGTCCTTGTGGATCGCTGGGGAAAATTATACGATTTTTTTTTGCTTGCCAATCCCTAAGAAGCTTTAGAGAGCGTCTCCCACTCCCCTTTTTCTTTTTCAAACCCTCCACCTCAGGATCTTGCTCACTCTCAACAGAGGACCTTACTTTAGAAAAGGCCTTTCTTTTTCTCTAAGAAAACCGAGGCTGCAAAGTAGGGAGTTCCTTAACGTACTCTTTTGTGTTTATGTCCCTCTGACTCTCAGCTTTCCCTCCTTCCCCTCTCAGGAAAAGAGCCATTGGCTCCAGTTTCTTAAAGCTTTAGATCTGATCCCCCAGCTCACCATCTTCACCTGTATCTTTAAGCCCATAAACTTGCTCACACCTCTCCCATCTGAAAATCAAACCAAACAAAAACCCTGGCTACCATCCTATCTTTTTCTCTTCACAGGCAAGCTTCCTGCAAAGATAAATCTGATTAGCTCACTTCTCTTCTGACTTCCCCCGCTCGCTCTCTAATCCGGTTTTTGCCCTTATCGTTCCACAATGAATGAGTCATCAGTTGAGCCCCAAGTGGACAAAACAAATTGGTCCTTCCCTTCCCCCTTTCTCTTGCCCTCCCTGAGCCACTTGATCTCCTGGCTGTCCCTTCTTTTCTTGGCTTCTCCTATAGGTCCCTCCTCTTTGCTACCAAATCTCAACTCCTCTTGAGTGCCATTTATTGGCTCTCTTTGGACTCTCATCCCCTAAAAGCCTGAGTGGCTGGGTTTATTCTGTACTCTGTTCTTCTCATGCTGTGTGCTTTCCCTGGGTGCACTTATCTGCAATCACAGCTGCAATTACTAGGGACTTGTTGAAAACTCACAAGACTCTAGCTCCTGTTTGGGCTTCTCTTCTGAGTTCTAGGGGCATATGCCTAACTGCCCACTGGACACCTCCACTTAAATGTCCCTCAGGTCCCTCAGACTCAGCGTCATCCTAACAGAATTCATGTCTTTTCAGCCAAGCTTCTTCCCCTGGATTCTTTGTGAATACTGTCAGCATCCGGGATCCTAGTCTCTTTTCCCCATTTCTAGTCAGCTGTCAGTAATAGTAAGATGAAGGAATTTTTGTGCCCTAGATTCCCAGGGAAGTTGAGGGATGCAGATTGGCTTGGTAGGGTTGTACTCCCAAAGAGATGCCATGGATTGAGGAGCTACATACCCTGGGGAGAACCATGTGGTAGGAATGGCAATTAGGGAGCTGGCCCAGTGAGGGAAGGGTAGCTATGGATGATGCTTCCAATCCTGGGTGAACTTAATTGAGCATCACTAAATGCTGAGGTATTTGGAGTTCTTGAAGAAAAAGGACCAAAGCTTGCATATACCCAAACAGATCTGAAAAGAAATACTTCAGAGAGGAATGGGGACAGAGAGAAGCCCAGCACAGTAAGATTCGGAAATGGGAAGGCCCAATGTACGTAGATCTCTCAAGGGTAAGGAGACCCGGAGTGAGTATGGGTTACAGTTGCTCCATTTACAGGTTCTGCCTCTGTAATGTCTCCAACCCGATCCTCTTTTTCTTAGTATCTTCTAGGCTTCTGCCCACCCCCAGGTCTTGTTTAATCTTATTAAGCCATTGGCTCTTTTAACTTTTGTATATCCAGGCAAAAATTCCTTTGCTTCTTACACAAGGTCCTTCAGGATATGGTCCCTGTTTACTATCCAGCTCCATCTCCTGCTACTGACTGCAAATTCTTTTTGCCTCAACCACATGAAGGTTCTTCCAGCTCTTTAAAAGCATCACACCTTCCTATAGTGGTTCCATGTGCCTGTGTTTGGGATATCCGTCTCACCCTCTCCTCTCCAAACTCATTCATTCTGCCATTTCTGCTTTTCCTTCAATACTAAGCTCAAGTACCATTTCCCAGAAGCCTTTTACACCCCCAATCTGATTTTCTCTGGGCTTTCATGGCAGCCTACACATAACATAAAAATACCCTTTACTACATCTCACTGTCATCAGTTAACTTGCTTCTCATCCTTAGTAGACTGGGTACTTTATGAAGGCAGATCTCAGTCTAGCCGGCTATCCCCAATATTTAGCTCATAAACAGCAGCTGATACTTCTAAATGAATAAATAAAAAGTTATCAACCATGAAAGTTTTGAAGTGTAAGCTGTAGGATGTTTAAAAGAAACTTTTTAACATTTAAACAGCAGGCCATTTAACTGTCATTTCACACGTTGTTTATCTTGTTCCTGAAGGTGAGTGCAATAGTGCTGGCCCATTTGTCTGTGGGAAGATCTGGACATTTAAAAGTGCTTCTCCAGGAGGTATCATCGGCCTAGAGACGGATCTCAAGCAAGCTGTCATCTACAGAACCCACCAGATCCGCGGCCTTTTCCTGGCCTTCAGCTACAGGGTGCCTATGGCCACTGAAAGAGGTATGCGGATAGACATACTTAAGGTAATCTCTCCTTGTCTTTAGGTTAAGGAGTGCATGGGGGTGGGTATGTCGGTCGATGTGGGTGTGTTCATGTGGGTGTGTGTGTGTGTGCGTGTGTGTGTGTGTGTGCGCGCGCGCGCGCCTGTGGATGGGGCAGGGAGGAAGGAGGCAATGTGTGCATCACTTCTTCAGAGACGACTTCCCTGACCTCCCTGACTAGCTGACGTTCGCCTCGCCACCCTCAGAGCACCTTATTCTCCGTCTCTGCACCGATCACAGCTTGACTTGCATTCGTGTGGTTAGTGCCCGTCTCCCCCGCTAGATCATACACTGCGCTAGGTAAGGAACCTCCTACGTTCCTGTTCACCCCTGCAATCCCCCTGCCCAGCAGGATGCCAGATACTCCACAAATATGTCTTCGACGAGCGTTTCTGGGCCCGACTGCAGGTACCTATCCCCCCGGGACGGCCTCGGCCGGCTCCCGCCCCGCGACCCCACCGGGGATTAAATCCCCGCCCACCAACGGCCTGGCGAGGCGAGGTGGGGCGGGCGAGGCGAGGCGGGGCGGGCAAGGCGCGGCGGGCAGGGCGCGGCGGGGCGCTCTCGCGCGGACGGTTCTCCCGCTCCCGTGGGCGCGGCCCCGAGAGGGGGAAACCGGGGAGCGGGCGGGTGCGACGCGTGGCCGCGGATGGGCCAATGAGCGCCGGCCGGGCGGGGCTCGCAGCCGGCTGCCCGGGAGCGCGCGGGGCTGGGCGTGCCCACGGGTGACGCGCCGGGCTGGACTCGCCAATAGGCGCACGGTGGCGGGCGGGCGGGCCTCGCGGCCGGGGGCTGGAGGACGCTAACCGGAGGCCGGCCGGACAGACTGACGCTCGGCCTCAACGACGGAGGCGCGCGGCGGGGATGGCGCTGGCGCGGGCCTGGAAACAAATGTCCTGGTTCTACTACCAGTATCTGCTGGTCACGGCGCTCTACATGCTGGAGCCCTGGGAGCGGACTGTGTTCAGTATCCTGCCCAGGCCGCGGGGCCCGGGGTTGGGGAGCGGGAGCCCGGGCCGCATCTTCCCGGGCCCAGGCGCCAGGGGGTGGAGGGGTGGAGGCTGGGGGGCGGAGGGCGGCCCTGCAGGGACGGCGCGCGCGCGCGCGCTGACTCTCCTCTTCGCTGCGGGCACGCGGGGCGGAGGTCTCGGGCCGAGGGCGGCGCTCCCGCGGTTGGGGAGAATGGGGGTCTAGAACTCTTGAGATCCGAGGGGGCCTGTGAGTCGCTGGAGCGGAGGTGGAAGCGGCTTTAGTATTGGAGGAAATCCCCTAGGGCGATGTCTAACCAGGTTTGTCCTCACTTGCACTTCGGCCGCGCCTGCCTTTGGTTCAGTCCCCTGGTCTTTGGGAGGCAGGGACCGTGTTAAGTGGAGCAGATCGTTCCCGGCTGGGACGCCTTTGACCTTTAACTGTCCCTGAGTTAGCTGACTTTGGTCCTAATGAGAATGCTAGCCAGTTTACCAGACTTTTAATCATATGAACTTGTGTTTGTGACACCCCAGTATAGTTTTTGAAAACAGTTTGTTGTACCTTTTTGGTTTTCGGGATGGGGAGTTTAAAGACTGTGTTTTATTCATTAAGTTGCTGTTTTCACAATCCATAGAAGTCGAGCCCAGAAAGGAATTTGTGGTTCATTATAGACAGGGTTTGAAACTGTGTTTTCATAGATAGCTGATAGATACTTGTTAATGATACTGAAGGTTCACTGTGGGCCAAGCAACTGTGCTAGCGTTTTGCCTGTACCTCAACTCATCTAACTTCATAACAACCTCACTTAATATGCAAGGTTGTGAAAATAGGCTTTCTGAAGTCTGTGATGTTTGTGTCATTTGTCTGTGTTGACATCCCTTGATATTATTCTTGCAGAATACATACTAATAATGAGCTGTAACTTTCTTCTTTTTTTTTTTTTATTTGGGGGCCAGTATGGAACATTTCACATAACATGCTTACTTCATACAGGCTCCCCCCTTTTCTTTAAATTGAAGTGTAGTTAACACAATGTCGCTTTAGCTTTTTTTTTTTTTTAAGATTTTATTTATTTATTTGACAGAGAGAGAGACAGCGAGAGAGGGAGCACAAGGGGGGGGAGTGAGAGAGAGAGAGAAGCAGGCTTCCCACGGAGCAGGGAGCCCAATGCGGGGGGGGGGGGGGGGGGGGGGGGGGGGGGCTCGATGCCCGGGGGCTCGATGCGGGCCTCGATCTGACGACCCTGAGCCGAAGGCAGACACTTAACGACTGAGCCACCCAGGCTCCCCAATGTTACTTTAGTTTTAGGTATACAACAGTGATTTGACAACAGGGAATGTTACACGGCCTCCTTTTCAATGTGGTTTAGTTTGGAGTAGCTTCAGAACAGCTTTGCAAATGCATTGTTGCATTCAGGTGGAGTGACTGAGATGATTTCATTCCAAGCATTAATAAGTGTGTTTATTTGTATTGAACTAGCATAAGATTGTACTCAAAGCTGTTTTTTGTTTCAACATTTTGGAGGAATCTTAAGCTGCTTACAAGGAAATTTATTTATTTTTATTGTTTGTTTCCAAAGCTTTCCAGAACTTAAGAACCATAATTCGTATTTTGGATTTAAAGTCTGAATGTAAAGTATGTTCTGAATTCCTGCACCATTTATTTGTAGTTGCAGTTCTATAGGTTAGAGCTCATGAAGTTATCTTTCTAAAATATACTAAAATACAGAAGCACATAGTGCTCAGTTAAAATCATCTTTTTTTAAAGGGGGGAGGGGCAGAGGGAGAGGGAGAATTTTTTCTTTTTTAAAGATTTTACTTATTTATTTGAGAGAGAGAGTGAGCACACAAAGGGAGAGTGAGAGGGAGAAGCAGACTCCCCTTTGAGCAGAGAGCTTGATGTGGTACTTGACCCCAGGACCCTGAGATCACGACCTGAGCTGAAGGCAGACGCTTTAAGCGTTAGAGCCACCCAGGCGCCTGAGAGAGTCTTTTTTTTTTTTTTTTTAAGATTTTATTTATTTATTTGACAGAGAGAGACACGGCGAGAGAGGGAACACAAGCAGGGGGAGTGGGAGAGGGAGAAGCAGGCTTCCCGCCGAGCAGGGAGCCAGATGTGGGGCTCCATCCCAGGACCCTGGGATCATGACCTGAGCCGAAGGCAGACGCTTAATGACTGAGCCACCCAGGCACCCCTGCGAGAGAGAGTCTTAAGGGGGCTCTGCGCTGGTCATGGAGCCCAAGTCAGGGCTCAGTCTCAGAAACGTGAGATCATGACCTGAGCTGAAATCAGAAGTTGGATGCTTAACTGACTGAGCAACCCAGGTGCCCCATCTTTATTTATTTATTTATTTTTAAAGATTTTTTTTTAAAAAAAAATTTATTTATTTATTTGAGAGAGAGAGAGCACGCACACAGGTAGGGTGAGCGGCAGGCAGAGGGAGAAGCAGACTCCCCGCTGAGCAGGGAGCCCGATGTGGGGCTCGATCCCAGGACCCCGGGATCATGACCTGAGCTGAAGGCAGATGCACAACCGACTGAGCCACCCAGGCGTCCCAAAGATTTTATTTGTCAGAGAGAGAGCGAGAGCTTGAGCATAAGCAGGGGGAATGGCAGATGGAGGGAGAAGCAGGCTCCCTGATGTGGGACTCTATCCTAGAACCCTGGGATTGTGACCCGAGCTGAAGGCAGATGCTTAACCAACTGAGCCACTCAGGTGTCCCGTTTTTTCTTTTTAAAAACATTTGTGTATTTATTTACTTAAGTAATCTCTACACCCAACGTGGGGCTCAAACAACCCTGAAATCAAGAGCTACCTCCTCTTCCACCTGAGCCAGCCAGGTGTCCCTAAGTTAAAATCATCTTAAAAGTGAATTTAAACAATGTTGCACTAAATTGACACTCTTTATGTCAGAAGTTGAATGTAGAGCCCACTGACAGTCTATTAAATCTTCTACACTGAAAAGCTTTTGTTTGCATGTGGATACATGCTACAGTGTCGATTGTATTAAGGTTTTTCTGTATTACATAGTAATAGTAACAGTGTCCTATAAGTAACCTAGATGATGGCTTTTTTGGGGGGATGGAGGAATAAATTATGTACTGAAATGTAGTGCTTCTATAGATTTTTCCTTTTGAAGCTTTTTTTTTTTAAGATTTTGTTTATTTTTTTGACAGAGAGCACCAGTAGGCAGAGAGGCAGGCAGAGGGAGAAGGAGACTCCCTGCTCAGCAGGGAGCCCGATATGGGGCTCGATCCCAGGACCCCGGGATCACGACCTGAGCCGAAGGCAGACACCCAACTGACTGAGCCATCCAGGCACCCCTCCTTTTGAAGCTTTTGACTTGTCATTGGTTTATGTGACCAGTGATTTCAGTTTTTTTTTTAAAACATTTTATTTATTTAATTGACAGAGAGAGAGAGAGCGCGTGAGGGACAACACAAGTAGGGGGAGTTGGGAGAGGGAGAAGCAGGCTTCCGGCCGAGCAGGGAGCCCGATGCGGGGCTCGATCCCAGGACCCAGGGATCATGACCTGAGCTGAAGGCAGTGGCTTAACCATCTGAGCCACCCGGGTACCCCGTGATTTCAGTTTTTAAAAAACTAGTGAGAACAGCAGCCAACTAGCATTGGGTCCTGTAGAATCCTATGGTTTTAAACCTAAGATTAAAAAAAAAATTTTTCAAAGATCACATGACTGAATTAACCCGAGGTAGGAACGTAATCCTTTTGACATAAGCCAATCTTAAATTACTATCAGCTGTTATATTATTCTAACTCAACTTCTAGAGTTAAAGTCAGGCATTTAATTATTGTATAGTTTGAAACATCTATTTGAGATGAATCTGTATTCTAGCTTGGAGGAAGGAACTGAATGAGAAAGCTGAATTCCCCCCCCACTCATTAGGAGCTTTAATTACTGAGAAGTAGTTTGAATTTCATAAATTTAATAATTAGTAAGCTTCACATAGAACAATTTTGTGGCTAGTTACATGGTTTTAGGAAAGAGACATACTTTCTTAAAAATAACATTGAATATGGTTATCACTGCTAGCAACCTTAAATTTCATGTAAGAAAAATTTGTCTGGCTATCTGAGAAATGGTCTCTGAGTTAGAAGGTCCTAAGAGAAAGACTCTAGAAGAAGGTAATTACTGCTATAACTCCTTTAATAAATTGAAGTCCCTGTTTTAGAGAACACTGATAGCTCGCTATTAACTACTTCTGCACATTTTCTAGGGGCATCCTTGAACATCTGAATTTGCTTCTCTTGTTTCTCCAGATCAAATAGCTAGAAGTTAATTGTCAGTTGTTGTAAATTGAAAGGTCAATCCCAGTTGAATATGAGGGTTTTTGAAATTATATAAGTAAGGAAACTGTGAGTCACAAAAAATAATTTTCAGTATGTTTTTAAGGAGATGCATCTGTGTCAAGTCAGGCACACTGTAAATGGTTCTTGAAACAGCAAGATTTAAAAATCCGTTTTGTAAATCCTTCCATGCTAGGGCCCGTATCCTAATTTTTTCTCTTATCATCTGCTTTCTGTTACCACATTTGAAATGATATGTTAGCTTTTTTTTTTTTTTAAGATTTATTTATTTATTTGACACACACAGAGAGAGAGCAGGAACACAAGCAGGCTTCCCACCGAGCAGGGAGCCCAATGCGGGGCTCCATCCCAGGACCCTGGAATCATGACCTGAGCTGAAGGCAGTCGCTTAATGACTGAGCCACCCAGGCGCCCTGATACATTAGCTTTTGCTTTGCAGCCAGTATTTGAACTTTTTCCATGTGAAGACATGGTTTCTATAGTGCAGGAAAAGGGGATGTAACACCTGATTAAAACAGAAGATAACAATAAAGTGAAATCAAATACGTGCAGAGTAGTATTACAATGAGTACTGCGGCGGACCTGTGCAGACTGAAATCCATTGAGCTCTTGCTCCAGAGTAGAAGTTGTAACACGTTTCTAAAGCCCCCTTTCCCTACTGGCAGCCATCAG